GTCTTTGCAAAAGGTTCATTTTTCTTGGAAATGTGGTATTATAAATTGAACTAAATTCAGAAATTTTAAATCTTTAAAAAAAATACTTGAAACTATTGTTTGAAGCAAGGTACAATTCCCCTATAACGAGTGCTATCACTATGTATATATAAAATGTACCAATAAAAAAATTCAAGAAAAAAAAAGAAAACAGGAGAAAAGTTTAACATGGACCAATAAGGAGAACTTTATTAGTGTAACTTTTAATTTCTAATGATGTGTCAGTTGAGCATCTGTTCCTAGGCTTGTTTGCCATCAGTGTGTCTGCTTTGGTGAGCTGTCTGTTCACCTCTTTGGGCTTTTTTTTTTTAAAAAATCTGGGCTCTTTGTTGTCTGTTGAATTTCAAGATTTCTTTATATAGTTTGAGAATCAGCATTTATCAGACATACTGTATCAGGACTCTCCCACTCTATGCATCTTTTCTCACTTCCCTGATGTCCTACAGCAATTTTAAATCATTCTAATACAGAAGCCTTTAGGTCTAGGTTGTCCACTGATGAATTTTCCAAAGCATTTAAAGAAGAGCTACATGACAGTTCTTCCAGAAACAGAAGACAAAACACATGGCCACTCATCATCCTAAGGTCTCAGCCACACTTTGCTGTCCAGAAACAAGACATTCCATGGAAAGGAAATGACAAACCAATATCCCTAATAAATATAGACACCAAAATCAACAACAAAATGTTGTCCATGAGCAAGAAATAGGTGAATGCTCGCTTTTTAGCCAGTATAAGTTGTCCAGGGAAATAGCCCACTTCACTGTCAGTGGGCCAGGATCAAATGCTTCCCCCTATAGCCAGCAGAGATGCAGGCATCTGCTCCAGCAATCCTGTGCCATTCCACACTGCAGTCACCCTGGTGAGAACAAGGGAGACAAAGGCAGGTGCATGTATCAGAGAGGAAAACAGCATAGTCTCTGCTGTCTCTGAGCACATTTAAGGTGCTGTTCCACACAGAGGACAGGTTTGCTCACACAGAAAGCCTGGGAATCAACAAGAAGTCTCCTGGAACTGTAAGGCTGTGCAACCACATCAAGGACAGCAGCTCAAAATAACAAAAGCAGAAAAACCTTACTGTGTTCTTTTATGCTGATATAAATAATGAAAATACAACAATATTTCATTTAAAGTATGATTTACATTGAAATATAAATGATAATTTACATATTTTTCTAAAAATATGTAGCTCAGGAAAACACAATGAAAGACATCAAATGAGACTTAAACAAGGAGAGACCCACACTGTATCCCATGTGGGACAACAACATATTCAGCTCCTCCAGATCTATCTGTAGGTTTTGTACAGTTAAAACTTCAATAGAGTTTTATTGTGCTGGAGTCAAGGTACCGAAGGAGTACATTTGTGCATGAAGCCCCCAAAGAAAGCATGCATATGCAGCCATCAGTAATAACAGCAGGCAGCAGGGAGCAAGGAGCAGAGCAAGAGAAGAATGTATCTTTATTGTTTAATTATTATACATTTGTTATCACATATTTACATTCTTGCAAGCTCACTATACTGGTACTTGTGTGATTTTTTAATGCTAAGCCACAGTTACACAAGCATATCCTGCTCTGAACCTGCACTCAACAGCGGATGTCCTTAACCAGATGCCACAAGCTTTGACATAATCTGCTGTGACTCCCCACTTGTTGATATCAACAAGCTGATTCTAGATTGTCCTTCCTGAGGCAAATGAATTTAAAACAACTTGTAAAAGAGTTAAAGATAAGGACGCACCTTCCTGATTTAAAGGTTTTCTAGAAACCTCAGGAATTAAGGCAATTTAGTGTTGGCAAAAATAGGGATAAACCTGTGAAGAGAGAAGCAGATGGACTCAGAGAAGGCAGCTGACCTCCAACCAAAGAACAAAGGAAACTGAAGGAGAAATGGGAATATTTGAAACAATTGGACATCAATGAGAAAAGAAAGCTGAACTTCAACTAATGTCTCATAAATCATGTGAAATTAAATTATAATTGATTAGAGACCTAAAAGTAAAACGTTGAAATGTTTATGTTTGAGAAAACAGGTAAATCTCTGTGTGTGACCTTGTCTTCGGCAGAGTTCTGGAACTGATACCAAAAGCCTGATTAGTAAAAGAAAGTAATTGATAAATTGGACTTCATCAACATTAAACTCTTTTGTTCTTTAAAATGCACTGTTGTAGGATTGAGAAGACAGGGCACAGAGAAGTAGAAAATATTTGCAAATCTGACCAAAAGATACAGAGAGCTTTTAGAATCCAATACCAAGAAAATCTAACTTAAAAAGAAAGCCTGAACATGAACAAAAGCATTGCCAATTAAAATGTGTGGGTGAAAAGTCTGCAAGTAGGAAGGTGCTTGACATCGTCCATCATAAGAGAAACTTGAGTTAGGACCTGCATGCTGAGTATCAGAATGACAGGAGGACCCAGAACTCACCCCATTGAGGAAACATAGATGCTACAATACTCTGGACAACAGCCTGGTAATAAGCATGTTAAATATGACAAACAGCTCATTACTGTTTGACTCAATGTAACCTAAAATTATAATAGATGCCACTCATGTATGTTGGAATGGCAAAAACTAAAACTATAGAGTGCTGAGAGAACCAGGGCCTTTGAGCTCTCATATGGGGCTGTTCTGTTGTGAGTGGTGCTGCTGCTTTACTAACCATGTGGCTGTTTCTTATGTGGTCACACAGGTGCTGACCAATCTCCCAACAAGGCCATTCCTGGGTGTTGATTCCAGGAAGTGAAAACTCAGCAGCCTCCAAAACAGTGCACATAAACAATGTCATAGCAGACTCACTCATAGTCCTCACAGACAGGTGGTGGGGAACATCCTCTCTTATCAAATGGAGATACAGACTGTGGAATTCTCCTGAGCCACATAGAAATAAATGATTTGATGTGTGTGGCATCTTGGATGAATCCTATGGGCATTTTGCTAGATGAACAACGCTGGGTTCAAAAGGCAAGGTGCAGGGGCCAGGGAGATGGCTCAGGGGAATAGGCACTTCCCTGGCAAGTGCAAGGGCCTGAGTTCAATCCCCGGTTCTGGAAAAAAAAAAAAAAAAAGGCAAGGTGTGGTCCCATTCCACTTGGGAATCTGAGCACCAAATATGTAGTGTCCTTGATTTCTAGGAACCATACAGCTGAGGGAGGACTTCTCAGTGTGCTCAGTAAGTGCTCAGCCCTCACTGAAACAGGCCTACACCTGCTATATAAGCTGTGCCCTCCCATTTCTTGGGTTTTAGCCTGGGAGGACATCCTCCTGTATGCTATCCTCTGTGTTGAAGCACAGGCCCTGTTAGAATAAAGACTTACTTTGGTGTCCTGTCAACCTACTCTTGACTTGTTTCTCAGGTAGTGTGGACTTCCAAAGTCCTGTACATCTACTTGGGCTTTTAACCCGAATATTGTGGATATAGTGGTCACTTCCAAAGAAAGCAATAAACCCGATGTTAGCACCAAAGAGCTCCAGAGATCAGCAGGCAACAGAGAGCAAAAACAGAGACTAGCACCTAGTAGAGTGGGTCTACAGTGTCCAGCACAAGCTGGCATCAGACAGCAGTAGCAGGGACCAGCAGATGGCTATGTCAATTCTGGGCATCAAGCATCAGCAGGTGTCATCTTGTTGTCATTAGGATTGCTAGCTGAGCTGCATATAGTCAGCTTAGAGTTCCATCTGAATTGAGCAAAAGAACCCTAGGCTATTAGACAACACACTACTAAGAGTAGACTGGGGGTCACTCACTACCAGTTCCTGGAAGGTCAAAGTCATCAGCTGTTTTGCTTCCCCTGAAGAAGATAAGAGCCTTCACCTGACTTTAGCTGATTTTTGTACATTTGTTTCTTCGCTTCTGTATGGCCTATAATTCATTTCCATTTTGTAGGACTGTGTGCCCACCAGTGTCTTCATGGACCCAGGCTCTGAAATGTTTTCCTATCCCACACACTGGCATCTGTACTGAGCTGGGTGTCCTGAGTCTCTGCCCTGCTGAACGCACATGGCCTGCAGGTGTCCTTGCACATCAGGCTGACTAAGGTGAAGTTGATCCCAGTCTCTATAGAGCTTCTGGGAACTTTTTTCTTTCTGTTTGCTGTCAGGCATACCAATTTGTCCCCTATGTGGCTGAAATTTCCAGTCCTGAGATTCATGTTTCCCTTGGACTCTGGGGAGCCTTCATCTCACCACTTTTGCTGCCTGGACTAGAGATCCTGTCTTCCAGGGGCTCTGTCTCTCTAAGTTTCCATCATGGGCCACCTCTGCCATGCCATGGCACATGGGTCTGGTGCCACATCCTGGCTCACTGTTACCCTTTTTTGTCATCTCCCACACTTTCTGCAGCAGCTCCTTGGTTGGCACAGTCTGCGCTCCATCCCCTCACCTCTTGGGCAGCAAATTCAGGCTGACAAGGTTCTCCATCCTCAAGATGGAGGACCAAGCACAGATCAGGGGATCACCCAGTCCTTGGCCACCACCAGGAAGTCTACAGGCTGTGTGGTACTTTGTATAAACCACAGTGAGCAAGGGCGCCAGGACTCAGCTCAAAACACCAACAAGGAAAGGAACAGGAACAAGGAGAGGGACATCAGGAAGAAAAGGGAAGGTCGCAGGAGCCTGAGGAAAAACAACACACAGCCTGGACTGATATAAAAGCCGGGGGGCCCTGAGCACCTCACACATTCACACACACACTCACACACTCACTCACACCCTCCCGCAGCCCGACTCTACCATGGCCGCCTCCACCATGTCCGTCTGCTCCAGCACTTACACCGAGCCCTGGCAGGTGGATGACTGCCCAGAGAGCTGTTGCGAGCCCTCCTGCTGTGCCCCCAGCTGCTGCCAGCCCAGCTGCTGTGCCCCGGCTCCCTGCCTGAGCCTCATCTGCACCCCATGCTGCCAGTCAGGCTGCACCAGCTCCTGCACGCCCTCATGCTGCCAGCAGTCCAGCTGCCAGCCGGCTTGCTGCTCCTCCACCTGCCAGTCATCCTGCTGTGTGCCTGCCTGCTGCACACCTGTCTGCTGCAAGCCTGTCTGCTGCAAGCCTGTCTGCTGTACACCTGTCTGCTGTAAGCCTGTTTGCTGCACACCAGCCTGCTGCACACCCGTCTGCTGCAAGCCTGTCTGCTGCACACCTGTCTGCTGCAAGCCTGTCTGCTGCACACCCGCCTGCTCTGGTGCTTCCTCTTCCTGCTGCCAGCAGTCTAGCTGCCAGCCGACTTGCTGCTCTTGCTCTCCCTGCCAGTCATCCTGCTGCACACCCATGTGCTGCAAGCCTGTCTGCTGCGTGCCCTCCTGCTCCTCCGTGTCCCTGCTCTGCCGCCCTGTGTGCAGACCTGCCTGCTGCATACCTGCCTCCCCCTGCTGTGCCTCCTCCTGCCAGCCCAGCTGCTGCCTCCCAGCTTCCTGTGTATCCCTGCTCTGTCGCCCGGCCTGCTGTGGCCTCTCTTTGGGCCAGAAGTCCTGCTGCTGACTGGTCCATCTTGGCCTGCTGGCTCAGTTTTTACCCTCAGGGCACCCTCTGCTGGCTGCTTGACCACCTTCAGGCTTCCTCTCCAGAACAGGCTTCGAAAAGTTCAGTGACCTCACACCTCCAAGCCAGGGCTTTCCTGTCACTTTCATGACAGGCCAGATGAGCAGGACGTGGCCTTCCTTGAGTGCTCCCTGAGAGTGGCTTGTGAACTGCTACTGAGCTATGGCCACTCTTTCTTGGGCCTACCAAACTTTCTTCGCTGCCTCAGCCATTGTCCTTTCCTACAAGTTTCTTGCCTTGCAAACAATAAACTGTCTTTCTGGCTCTGTGCATTGTCTCTCAGCCTCGTGTCACAGTCTACATTGGACAGCAAACAAGGCCACTGCCCTTGAGACAAGCTGCATCCACTGCAACCCCACCCCAGGATCCCTCAGGGCAGTGAAGCCCAGGACATATGTGGCAATTTCTCCAGTGCCACCCAGAAAGGCCTCCGTGGGGAAAGAAACCTGCTGCCAAGGTCTCATTGTCCTTGAGGACACATGGTGGGCAGCAGGGAATGGGGCAGGGATTCTGGGGACCACTGACTCAAGTCTTTCCACTGCCACCCAGTTTCCCATGGAGGTCCCTCCAGCCACCCTTGATCCCTGAATTCCAGCCACAAGTCCCCCATCTGTGCTCATGCAGCCAACAGCATTGTGCTTCCCATTGCCCAGGTCTGGTGGAGGAAGGCAAAGGTTGGAAGAACCAGCCCAATGGTCAGAGCCCCATGCCTGCCCCCAGGACTCCCCCATCTTGGCCTGCTGTTCCCATCTCCACCCACACAAGTGCCCTCCTGAGCCAGGAGAAATGTATGAGAACAGAGTCTGCCTGGCTGCAAACTCGGAGGCCATGACATCCAGACAGACGCCCTGAAACCCTAGAGTAGGTCTGACACACATACCCTAGCCCCTGGGGTCCTGGCCTTGAGGGGCTGCACCACATTCCCTGGGCTGGGCTTTCCAGTAGCTACTGCCCCAAAAGCCTCTCAGAGGAGAGGTAGCCCTATATCTGGCTTCTAGATGCAGATAACCCCTGGGCCCCTCTATGGGAGGCTGACTGGCACAAGGGTCCTGACCCTACTTCCCTGCCCTCCACTCTGAAGGATCTATCAAGAAGGGGGTGACAGAAGTTAGCCACCCAACTCCATAGGAGATAGGAAGCCCCTGAGGTTCTGCCCACTGCTCAGCCTGGGAATTGCCTACCCTGAAGATAATAGAGGGCTCTGCTTGAGTTCCTGCCACTCCCCGATGACCCAACAGACCACAGCCACACCTGCACCAGAAGCCTTGGAAAGCACAGGTGGGGGAAGGAAAGGAGGCTGGGGGTGGGGGTTGCATACATGGGTGCACACACACAGGTGTGGCTACACCCATGGGGGTGTAGACAGAATGCCACCTTGGGCCTGATCATTTCTAGCAACGTGTAGGGGAGGGCCATCATCCTCAGCCATGGAAGTCCTGCAAGCACACTTGGGCTTCCCAGAAGCAAGGTTTTTATTTCTCCTCCTCTTTATCTTTCAGCTGCTGTGGTGGAGCCCTAGACATCATTGGAGTTCACCAAGTACCCACACACAAAGCCCTACCTGGGCCAAAGCCTCCCCAGCTACCTGGGGTTGAACAAAGATCCCTGCCTGCCCCAGCAAGGACAAAGACACAATTTCCCCCAACTCTGGCTTTCAGAGTGGAGCTGGTACCAAGGCTCCTGCGCCCTCAAGAACACTGCTGAGGGCTTCTGAATCCTTTAGGACAAGTATAGGGAGGGAGGTCACTGCCCAGGACCATGTCCTCAGGGGCTCCCAAGACCAGGTAGGGTGGGGTAAAAGCTGTACCCGCAATGATCTGCCCGCAGAGTGAGAATCTTCTTTGCAGGGATGGCCCAAGTGGCTTGTGATGCTCTATAGATGAAGATTGTTTACTTAAGAATGCAAATAAATTGAATAAATAAAAGTAACATGCAAAATCCCCTCAGCACTCGAAGTGTGGGGATCCCAATGACCAGAACTCTCCAGCCAAAGAGGTTGGGCTTCCAGCCCTGGCCTCCATGGGGGAGCACTGAAAGGGACACTGCTCACCTCCTGAGAGCCCCTGTGGCATGTGTGAGGCCACCTAGGGTGCAGAGAGGCTGAGCTGAACTTCACTTTGCTGGCCCCATGCTGAGGGAACTGCAGGTGGCAGCAGTTTCTCCAGACTCAAATCACCCATGGTGGGGGCCAGGGAGATAGCTCAGTAGAATAAGCGCTTCCCTGGCAAGTGCAAGGCCTGAGTTCAATCCCCGGTTCCACCAAAAAAAAAAAAAAAAAACAAGTCACCCATGGTATCAGCCCAAAGTGGGTATTTCTGGTATGGGGCCTCCTGGACTCTGCTAGGGACTGTGCCAGAGATATGCTTCTGGGGCCTGGGACTGGGGGTGGGGGTTGCATACATGGGACCCTTGTAGCAATGGTAAGGAGCTGCTGGGAGCAGGCAAGGGTAAGCAGGAAGGTGCCCTGAACTGCACCCCAGGACTCACATCCTCAGTATTTCTGCACCCAAGCTGAAGTCTGACCTTGCCCACCCAGCCAGGCAGTGCCTCCACCTACAGGAAGCTTTTGCTACCTGTCCATCTCCCAGGAATGTGCACCCTTTGGTCCTCCAGGCCCCTGGACCTGCCCTGTGCATACAGACTCCATGGTGGGGAACTTGAGGCCCTGGCTCCAACACGGCTTCAGCTTGACCAGATGCGCCTCCAGGGTGGGTGGTGAGGAAAGGAGGGCTGTGGTGAGAACAGCTTTGTCCCAGAGTGACAGAGGAAGCAATGTCATTGGAGTCCTGCCTTCACCCTCATGCTGCCTCAGGGCATAGCTCTAGCCCAGTACTGATCCTCCAACAGGGTCTGGATGTTCCCCAACAGCTCCCACAAACCCTAGGGTACTAAACACCTGGTCACCAGCATGGGGGTAATGCCCAGCACAACAAATCAGCCCACTGACCTCAGGGACTCGCCGCTCACCCTCTCTGATGGCCCACCCTGCCTAGAACACAGCTCAGAACAGCACTTCCAGTCATGGACATTGGAATTCATGCTGCACCCATTTGCCCCTCAGCAGCTGGGCCCAGCTCAGTGTCTGGCTGGGACTCTCAGGCCAAGAAGAGCCTGGTACACTCCTGGAGTCACCCAGTAGCCCATGGCTAAGGTGATGGTAAAGCTCAAAGATGATAGGGCCCGGGATGGGGTGAAGTTTAGGGCAAAGTGCTTTCTAGCATGCTCAGGGCCCTGGATTCCATCTTAACACAACCCAAAAAGAAAACCTGGAAGGCAAAGTTCCCCCCACCCAAAGTCCTGCCAAGCCACCACAATCGCACCTCAGCCCTGCATACCCTGCGGGCTCTGTGGCCCTCATCCTCTGCCCACCCCAAGGTTGCTTCAGCACCCACAGACTGGCTGCCCCACTAACTAGTCCACGCTGACTGCCCATCCAGTCTCGCTGAGATGAGATTTAAACTACCTACCCCTGTCCAGGGGTGCCCAGGCCTCAGCAGAAGGAGGATCAGGCCAGACTCAGGTACCAGGCCCTGCTCAAACATTCAGTCCGTTTCCAATCTCCAACTGGCCACACTGTCTGGAGTAGTGAGTTTGCTGCCTGAAATATGCCAATCTGTAGTGGGCTGCCCAGCAGCATTCATAGACCAGAAAGATCCTGGCCCCAGATGTCCAGGGACCCTGCCAGTCATCCTGTGCACCTTGGCCATCCAAGGTGGGGCTCCTGCTTTCTGGGTTTTAAGAAAGCTGAGCAGGAAAGACTACTCCATGTCCCAGCAAGATGCCCCCAGCTCCCTCCAACCCCTGCCCAGACCTCCTAGACTGTCTCCACCCCAAGATTCAGGTGGAATCCCTGGAGCTATTGTAGTTTCCCGATGATGCTCATGCTCACAGTTCATGCCTTGCAAGGTACAGAGTAGAGACTCTGGCTGGGGACACCTGGCAGTCCAGGCCCCAGTCCCCCACACCCAACAGCCACCCTATTTGCAAACTAAACACCAAGAAGGGAGGGAATGCCAGGTGGAAGAGGAGGGAGCCCAGGTAGACGTCACAACGGTCACCAGCCACAGCCTCATGGCACACTCTGCGCTCCCAGACTCACTGGGTGCCAAAACCCTTGCACCTCCACCTGTGCCAGGCCCACCAGAACTGCACACACATGCCCTGATGTCAACCTGGGGGCTTTCCGAACCCGAATGGAACCAAAGTGACTTTGAAAGCAACGTGAAACCCTCACAGGCTGTGACACAAGTCTCTTGGGAGCGTTCCAAACTTAGCTCCGTGTTATTTACCTGGCTTTCATCTTTCCTCCCTAGATCACGGCATTTATAACTGGGTCATCTTGTAACTATTCGAAACACACCTCCAGGGCAGAGGAGGCGGGCTTTATAAATAACCTTTATTATGATTATGCGCATTGACTCTGTGCCCAGTGCTAAAGGGAACCTGAACATACACGCCCATGACTCATCCCCTCCCAGAGGACGACCATGGGCTCCTGAGGGCCGGGGCACTGCTCAGGGTCCCTCTGAGCCTCAGCCTGAGAATTATTGTTGGACCTTGGTCAGGGAAGACACAGACTGGCCCTGGAGCCCGTGATCGCCTGAGGCCAGGGAAGCTTGGTGGGCAGGAGCAGCCCATTGTCTGCAGTTACCTTGGGCAGGTACAGCCTCCTGGGAGGGGTAACAGTGGCTGCAGTCCATCCTCATACCTACAGATGGCAGCTGTGCTCTCCTCCCACCCTCCACCAGCTGTTATTGGGTCATTTGTGGATGCTGCCACTGCTGCTCACACTTGTCAGCATTCCAAACCAAACCTTGGGGTGATTGACACACATGTGGCTTCAGAGAGAAAGGGCCTAGCCAGCAGAGGGGACAAACTACCCAGGCAACCAGGTATCCGCTATTTGCAAATCAAGCCAGCCTCTGCTGTGCAAGGCCTCC